CAAAACCTCCCATGCTCCTGGATTGGAAGGATCAATATCGTGAAAATGGCAATATTTCCCAAGGCTATCTACAAATTCAATGCAATACCTATAATATTCCAACATCATTCTTCAAGGAAATAGAAGAGGCAATCCAAAAATTCATGTGCAACAATAAAAGACACCAATTAGCAAAAACGATACTTAACAGTAAGAACAGTGCTGGAGGAATATCAATACCAATTTTCAAACTCTACTACAAAGCCGCAGTAATCAAAACAGCATGGTACTAGCACAAGAACAGACCTCAGGACCAATGGAAAATAATTGAAAACGCAGCAATGTATCTACAGACATATAGCCATCTAACCTTCGATAAGGGAGGTAAAAAAAAAATAGAATGGAAGAAAGACAGCATCTTCAGTATATGGTTCTGGCAAAACTGGTTAATCACTTGTAGAAAACTCAAGCTAAATTCTTATAAATCACCCTGCAACAGAATCAACTTCAAAGACCTCGGAGTCAAAGCAGACACTCTGAAAACATTACAGGATGGAATAGGAGAAATCTTAGGTCTCCTTGGCACAGGCCGAATTTTTCTTAATAAAGACCCAGAAACACAACAAATCAAAGAAAGTAGGGACAAAAGGGATTGCATGAAATTGCAGAGCTTCTGCATGGCAAAGGACATAGCTAGCAAGACCAATAGAAAGCGCATGGATTGGAAGATTTTCAATAGCCATACAAAAGACAAGGGTCTCATATCTAAAATATACTTGGAACTCAAAAAATTAAATCCCCCAACAACAAATCCTCAAAAAGAGAAGTGCCCAATAAATAAGTGGGCTAAGGACTTAAAGAGAAACTTCTCTGAAGAGGAAAGGATGGCCAATAGACACATGAAAAAATTCTCAACCTCTCTAGCTATAAAAGAAATGCAAATGAAAACAACATTGAGATACCACCTCACCCCAGTTAGAATGGCTATACTCAAGAACTCTAATAACAACAGATGCTGGAGGGGATGTGGACAGAAGGGAACCTCACTGCATTGTTAATGGGAATGTAAACTTGTTCAACTACTTTGGAAAGTACTATGGAGGTTCCTCAAAAGACTCCACTTAGAGCTCCCCTATGACCCAGCATTACCACTTTTGGGCATTTACCCAAATGATCACAAACAAGTCCAAAGTAAAGCTACCAGCACAACTATGTTTATTGCAGCACATTTAACCTAGCTAAAATATGGAACAAACCCAGAAGCCTCTGAGTAGATTAATGAATCAAGAAAATGTGGTATATATACACAATGGAATTCTATGCCTCCATCAGAAAGAATGGCATTGACCCATTTGTTAGGAAATGGAAAGAATTGGAAAAAACTATATTAAGTAAAGTAAGCCAGGCCCAAAGAAATACAGGTCAAGTTGGAGGAAGAGGGCTGCGGTGCTGGCGGTGAGCCAGCGAAGCGGCATGACAGGATGCTTCCCACAATAACTGTACTTCAATCCATATCTGAAGAGAATCTCCATAGAGTGAAGATTGCTCTTTGTATGCCAAGTTGGTGTTGGTGTTAGGAGATCTGCATATCCCTCACCGGTGCAGCAACTTGCCGGCTAATTTCCAAAAACTGCTGGCACCAGGGAAGATACAGCACATTCTCTGCACTGGAAACCTTTGCACCAAAGAGAGTTATGACTATCTCAAGATCTGGCTGTTAATGTCCATATCGTGAGGGGAGACTTCGATGAGAACCTGAATTACCCGGAACAGAAATTTGTGACCAGGGGACAGCTCAAAATCGGTTTGATCCACGGACATCAGGTCATTTGGTGGGGAGACTTGGCCAGCCTGGCCCTGCTGCAGAGGCAGTTCGATGAGGACATTCTTATCTCAGGACACACTCACAAATGTGAAGCATTTGAGCATGAAAATAAATTCTACATTAACCCAGGTTCTGCCACTGAGGCATATAATGCCTTGGAAACAAATATTATTCCATCGTTTGTGTTGATGGACATCCAGGCTTCCACAGTGGTCACATACATCTATCAGCTAATTGGAGATGATGTGAAAGTAGAAAGAATTGAATACAAAAAATCTTAAAGCCAGTCTGTCTTGATTTTTTTCATTACTCTGTTCAAATCAAGGAATTAAACATTTAAGAATCACATCACTGTATCCCTTTTATATTTAACAGTAAAATGTAATACATCTTCTGTTACTACTTCCTCTAATCTTCTTAGAAACTGTAGTTAGTTTTCAGTATAGACTTTGTATTTTAAAAAGTCCACCTCACAGGAAATGGTTATGTATTCAGAAAAAGTTATTCTTGTAAATATCTTCAAAGTTGGCATTTGGACCTTATTTTACAACCAGTGCTTGAACAGAAAGAATACAGACTTTCTGTGTACATTTTTCTCTTCTCCAGTAGTAAATGTTTACTTTTCATGTAAAAAGAAGAAATATAGGTCCCATTGTTTCCCTTATTTGCAATAACTAGTATATGTCTGAGACAAAGAGAAACTCTCAGACTAGTTGATGTTAGGTGAAATGAACCCCAAGATAAGGATTCAAATGTTCTTTTATCTTTCTTGTGATTGTTTCCAACATATTTATAAGATGATTTCTTTGTTGCTTTGTATTTACTTTCACCAGGGTATAAGCCTTGCTTTCACTGTATTTGATGTTGATATAATTTCTAGAGGGGAAGGGAAAAAACAAACTGTTTAAATAAGGTTACAGGTGGACCCATTACAACAATGAGATGTACAAGATGTTATGTTGAAAAACGAACTTTACAACTTTGGCAGGGTGGGGGCTGGGGGAGTGGGGGGGGGTAGGGGAGTGGAGAAGGGAAGGGATGGTATGGGGAAACAAAGGAGGAGGCAACAATGCTTGATAAGAAATGTACTCACTATCTTGCCCATGTAATTGTAACCCCTCTGTATGGTATTTCCATAATAATAATTTTTTTTAAAGCCTCCACATTGAACTCCCCTATGACCCTGAAATCCTACTTTTGGACATTTACGCAAATGATCACAAACAAGACCATACTAAGGCTAGCTACCAGCACATCTATATTTGTTGCAGCATTATTTACCATAGCTAAGATATGGAACCAACCCAGATGCCCTTTAATAGATGAGTAGATCAAGAAAATATGATACACACACACACACACACACACACACACATGAATTCTATGCCTCCATCTGAAAAAATGGCATTGCCCCATTTGTGAGGAAATGGAAAGACTTGGAAAAAATTATATTAAGTGAAATGAAGTAAGCCGGGCACAAAGAAACATAGGTCCCATGGTTTCCCTTATTTGCAATAACTAGTACATATGTAGGTCAAGCAGAAAAGGCCAAAAGCTATGCACATATGACCATATAAAATAGTGTCAAGCGAATGAAAACCAAAAAAAGGGATACAAATATCTTTTTCCTTTCTTCATATTGTTTCTAACGTATTTTTAATGTACCATGTGATTTTTTTTTGTTGCTTTGTATGTTCTTCCCCCATAGTATAACCCGTTTTCACTGTATTTGATTTTGGTGCCCTGAGTCTTGTATATACACTTTTCTAATTCGGGAAGAGGAAGGAAAAAAACAAAATGCTAAATAAGGTTGACCCATTGTAACACCGAGATGTACAAAATACTATATTGAAAATGAATTTTACAACTTCGGGCAGGGGGGTGGGGGAGGATAGTTGTGGAGGTGGGAGGGAAGGGATGGTAGGGGAAAAACAAATGAGGAGGCAACAGTACTCAATAGAAAATGTACTCATTACCTTGCTCATGTAATTGTAACTCCTCTGTACAGCATTTTTGCATAAAAACATAAAAAGAACCACTAAGTAAGCAGATAAAGTGGCTCATGCCTAGATACTCTTGATACTCAAGAAGTTTAGATCCAACAATAATATTCACACAATAATATTCAGCAGTTGTGTCAAATATTTATTTAGAGTGTTAGTGTTTGTAAAAAATGTGTTAGTCTTTTACTGTTAAAAAGTTAGTGTTAATCTTATCTTTTCACATTTTTGTTTGCAAATACTAGTTCTACATGGGTTTTCCTTCTGAGAATTTCATACAAACCTTCATTGTACCCTTCTCAAACTCATTTTTTCTGTCATTCTCCCTCCCATCCTCTCTCTTAAAATCACTTCAAACCAGACATAGGTGGCTCACACCTGTTATTCTAGCTACACAGGAGGCTAATATCTGCAGATGGCAGTTTAAAGCCAGCCTAGGCAAGACAAGTCTGTGAGCCTCATGTCTCCAATTTCCAAGAAAAAATTCAGAAGTTGAGCTGTGGCTCAAGTGGTAGAGTGCTAGCCTTGAGCAAAAACACCTCAAGGACAGTGCACAGGTTCTGAGTCCAAGCCCCAGGACTAGCACCAAAATTTTTTGCCAGAATTTTCTACCTAATCTATCTATCTATCTGTCTATCTATCTATTATCTCAATATATAAACTATATATAACCTAATTATTATTGTGGGATTGTCTCACAAGAACAACTGGGAGAGAGAGAGTAAAAGATAATAAAAGATGGTGATAATATAGTGAAATATAAGCATTCATGCATGATGAAGGCATAAAGAAACAGAGTTGTCAAACAGTAGTCGGAAAGGGGGATAGGCAGAGAGAAAAATGTAAAAAGTTCATCCAACTAAAATATAATATATGCCCATTGGCAATACCATAGGGAAAGCCATAGCACAATTACTATACACTAAAACATGGGGTTTACTTTCAATGGTTCACATAAAATGGGTCTGGATGCTGAATAATTCTTTAGTCATTATTGAGAAACCATTAGAGGGCAGCATCTTCTCAAGGATCCCAAGGGACCTTCTCAAGTGCACTGTGTGGTGGGGAGTGACTGCATCTGGGAGGAGCTTGTTGGTGAAGTGGGGGGGGGGGAGGGGGAGGTGAAGAAAAGAAGCTTGTTTTTCTGATTGGTAAAAGAATCTTTTTATGTTTCCAAAAGCACAGTACTGAGAATATCTCAATGAGACACATTTTCCTTTACAGTTTATTCTCTGAGTCCTCAGTGAATCCAAGGGAAAGAATGATGAGATCCCTGAGTGTCTTACTAGTGATTCTGTGGCTTCACATGAACTGTGAGTTTAACATTTTTATGGGGATATGAAGTCCAGTGTTGGTAGTTGTTTCATATTACAGGTCTGCGAGGAGAAACACTAGTGGATGAGAGAGGGTAAGAAGCCTGTAGAGAAAACATCCACTATTCAACCATTGTCTTTGGCTGACCTTTGTCTTTCTGCACAGGGGTGAACAGCCAACAAAAGGAGGTGGAGCAGCATCCTGAGTCCCTCAGTGTTCCAGAGGGAGCCACTGCTTCTCTCAACTGCACTTACAAGAACACTGGTTCTCAATACTTCCTGTGGTACAGACAGTATTCTGGGAAGGGACCTGAGCTGCTGATGTCTACATACTCCAATGGTGATAAACACGAGGGAAGATTCACAGCACATCTCAACAGAGCCAGCCTTTATCTTTCCCTGCACATTAGAGGCTCCCAGCTCAGTGACTCAGCCACCTACCTCTGTGCAGTGAGTGCACAGTGCTCCCCCAACACCTGCAGTCTGCACACAAACCTATGGGGGCCCCAGTAAGGCCTGAGCTGTAGCACAGGGCAATTATTCTGTGCCCTAGATGTGATGGTAGCTAAGAGCAATAGCAGGCAGGAGTTGATCATTTTACTATCTTATCATTGTGAAAATACTTGAGCTGAAGGGAAATTAAAGACAGAATACTGTTCTCTGTTGTGGTTAACTTTGACTATCAGTCTGAGTAGATTGATGTCTCAATTTGTGATGCACATTTCTATGTGTGTGTGAAGCTATTTCCATAGGTGATTAGCACTCTGCACAGTGTGAAAAGCTCCTCTAAAGGTGGGCAGGACAGATCCAATAGACTGAAGGCCTGGATGGAACAAATGCTTTCAGGCTGTGCCCAGCTTGTATTGAAGAATCTAGCCTCAAATTGTGTGCACACATGCACACGATCCTATAAAGAAACCTGTCTAAAATTCTACAGTTGACATGTTTTCCAGTTTTTTCTTTCAATTCTAAACTATATATGCACAAAAGGTTCACACAATTAAAGCATATGTCTTGACAAGAAAGTGTGTATGAAAGATCTATGAAACTATTACCATAAGCAGTGTACATTACACCTGATTCTCTATCTTCTTTTTTTTAAAAAAAATGAGGTGTGATTGACAAGCAAAAATGTGCACCAACTTTGTCCATCCATCTTGATGTCTAATCCAGTCTAATACCACAGTCTTACTAACCATGGTTTTTGATACTTGTATGTATAAAAGTAAATGTAATATGATAATAGATATTCTCTTTCAGTGATTAATATGCTTTGCTTTTTTCCATTAAGCTTTTCAAGATGTTCATTCATTTCAAGAGGAATGTAATAGCAAAACAGAAATGCAAATGAGATAAAGGCTTCATAATACTCTACTTTCCTTTTTTTGTGCCAGTACTGGGGCTTAAACTCAGGACCTGTGCATTCACACCTAGTGCTCTATCTGGAGTCGCAGCTCTGCTTCTGGAGAGTTTTGTGGACTCATCTTTCCTGGGTTGGCTTTGAACTGTGATCTTCAAATCTATCTAGGACTAGAAACCCAATAACTTTCTATTTTGAAAGAGATTTTGGTCAAGTTATATTATTAAAGGTTTAAAATTTATCTGTATTCTCAATTGCAACTAGGTCTGGATTAGTAAAGGACACAAATTAAAGCAAACATGTGATATAGAAAAGATAAAAAATCAGAGTGGATCTAAATTGGTGTATTGGTGTAAGGGCTGAGTAGGTCTTGGAATTCCTTTCCTGAACCATACAAAGTGTAGCATGGAGATGTGCGGAGCATCGACCACAGACACAAAGAGCCCCTGACATGGGGGCTAGCTGACAGGGGAGCACAGTGATTCTGGTTTCCTTGAGAAAGATTTTTGAGAAAGGGTGTAAAACAGCATAGGCACCAAAGGAAGGAGTTTGATCTAGAGAATAAAGACTTATTCTTGCTTTTGGTTAATACTGAAAGTCTGTTCTTCTTCACTTCAGAATGAGAGCTTTGCTGAGTAGATTAATCTAGGTTGACTGCAACAGATCATTACATACCCTCTTGGCTTTTAAGGTTTCTGTCAAGAAACATGTTGTTGGAATCTTAACTCTTTCTGCATGATAGGTCATGTCCTTAACCATAGTATTGAATAAGAAATGTCATGTGACCTTGTAGATTTTTATATATATGAGTCTCATATAACTCACTTTTTTACCAAAATTAAAGTGCCAACTCCCTTTGTTCCCACTGTAATACTTACCTCCAGCAGCCCGAGACAGTGAAGATTCATCCCTGCCTGAGACCACCGATTCCATTCTGTCTACCTGTGGAAGGCTAGAGCATCTCAATGGAATTCCAGTGTTTAATAATGTCTGTGACAAGCCTAAGTGAAGTAAATTATAGTCTTCAAATTGATTTTTTTTTTGCTGGTTGTGGGGTCTGAACTCTGGGCCTGGGTGCTGTCCCTCAGCTCTTCAGCTCAAAACTAACACTCTACCATTTGAGCCACAGTGCCACATTCGGCTTTTTCTGCTTATGTGGTGATGAGGGCCTCATGAATGCAAGGCAAGCATTCTACCATTGAGCCACCTTCCCAGCCTTTTTAAGGTAAGCCTTACCTTTTTAAGGTAAGAATTTTCCCAGAGCTGTTGAGTCTCCCTTACTCTGTTTCTCTGGTTCAGGCCAGTTTGAAAGTAAGAAAGGGTCAGGGCCACAATCACAGATGCAATGGTCACCAACACCCATGTTGTTTTCCAATGTTGACTTCTTGTCTACACACACACACACACACACACACACACACACACACACACACATTTCTCAGAATAAGATGTACAAAAAAATAGGAATAATTGAGAACACTACATCCTCTGGTGCTGAGATCTAGCCTTCTGCTTAGACATACAATGATTATAGTCATTTTAACTCAAATTTTTATTCAAATTAAATCTTTTTACTTTACTATATGAATTAACAGCTTCATTTTACTCCCTTGAGTTTGGTGTCCATAAAGGCTTGTCCGTTTTGTTAACTGATGTCTTCCCAGACAACATACTTATTACAGGAGATCAGGACCAAACCCAGGAGGTGTAGTTCAAGGAGCTTATTGGTTGGGGTTATGAATAAACCATTACAACCTGCAACATAACAAAGACATATCCCATCCACTGTGAATAAGATGATAGATAATGTCAGTCAGGATCCAGGTCCTGCTGCTTCCTAGTGATCCTTCTTCCTGTCTAAGTGGCCTTTAAAATGAATCATTCCTACATCCACCATCACTGAGACCCTGACCTTCTTCATAGTGTCATTAATGCAGAACTGGTCTAGTATCCCTTGCCTAGAAATGAATTCAAAATCAAAACTGGAATTCTAACAAAACAAGGGGGAAACAAAATAAACAAGTAACAAAATGAAATAGAAATCCTAGCAGATCAACTAGTCTGTTCTAATCTGTGGAAGAGTTGTCTAGGTTCCTGAACCAGTATGATTCCCTAACTTCTATTCTAGAGATACTTTACCTGTTGGTTAGTTTATCCCTATAGGTGGTACTGTGTGTGTCTGTGTCTTTGTCTCTGTGTGCTCATACTGGGACTTGAACTCAGAGCCTGGGTAGCTTATTTGTTCAAGGCTAACACTCTACAACTTGAATCACAGCTTCACTTCTGGTTCTTTGCTGGTAAATTGGAATCTTGTGAACTTTCTTGCTGGGTCTGGCTTAAAACCATGATCCCCTGATCTCAGCTTCCTAAAAAACTAGGATTACAAATATAAACCACTAGTACCCGCTGGTATTTTTTGCAGCTACTGTAAAGGGGTGTTTACCAATTTTCCTCTCATTATTGTTGGTGTACAGAAAAGCTACTGGTTTTTGTGTGTTAATTTTGTATCCTTCTATGTTGCCAGAAGCCAATAAACAAAAGTAATAAAATGAAACTTGCTGAGGAACTGACATATTAAAAAGACAATACACACACACACACACACTCACACACACACACACATACACACACACACACATACACACACACACACACACACACACACACACACACACACACACATATATATATACCAAACACAATGTGTAACTCATAGATGGATAACAAATCAAAAAATTGTCAGTGACAAACTGGCATTTCATAGTGCAGGATAAACCTCCCATTAGTCCTAAACCCAATGGAGAGTGTTTGGTTTTGTGTTACCAATGAATAGCAGAGGCTCTGTTGTGCAGTGGATAGCTCATTGAACTTCTAGAATTGAATAATTTGAAACCTGTCAGATATCTGCTGACCTTTGACCTCTTCTTTAACCTGTTAGTGCCTTAGTGTTATCATTTGTAAAATGGCTTGTGGATTCAAGAATTAAATAAAATTACATATAAATATAAACTTATACACACACACACACACATACACACACACACACACACAGAGTATTACCCAGGTTTAGAGCTTGACTCCTGACACAATAGAGAGTCAGTTCACACCACTCACTGTTAAGACACAGGTAGAGCTTAGTGGGCCTGTGTCACATTCTCAATCCTGTACTCTTTCCATAACAATATACCTCTCCTTGCCATGCTTTCAGAGGGAGAATCAAAACCACCTGAACCATGCAGCATCCTGTCACTACCTAAAACTCAACTGTGTGGTAAATGGCCCCATATCAGCTGCCCCTCTGCCTACATTCACCCTCCTGACACGCCCCGAATAGACCAAAACAGACAGCTGTTAGCATGTGGGTGCTGTTCTCAGGGTCAGCAGGCTGTTTTAATCCCCTGGCCAGGTAACTTAAGACAAAATTTCTTATATTTGCTGGAAGACCAACAAGCAATGCTCCAAATCCCTATCAATATCCATGCCAACCTTCAACTGGTTTGTTTGCAGTATTTTAGAAGGAAACAACCCCGCAAAGCTTCCCAATAAAAACAAGCATCTTTCCCTTGAGAAGCATATAACTACTAGATGTTTTGAGACACTAAATCTCTGTATGTTGTAGAGTTTTCAACTCTTAAGAGAGAATGAGTTGGGAATGCAGCTTAGTGGTAGAATGCTTGCCTAGCATTCATGAAGCCCTGGGTTTGATTCCTCAGTACCACATAAACAGAAAAGAGGGATGAATACATTTTCAATATCCTTAAAGCAGGACAGGTCACTAATTCAATTCCTTTCATTTGTAAAGTGAGGTAACAGCGAAAAGAACAGTCCCATCCCATACGCAGGTTCAAACACAGTTGTCTTAGATTTGAAATTTACAAGCCAGTCTGGGAAGTAAGGAGAAAGTGATGCCCATTGCTGATCACAGACTCCTCCTTGCCTTCTGCCCATAGGGCACAGGAGCTCCCAAGTCCCTCACAGATCCAAGTCTCTTCCAGGGACTACACAGAGGATCTCTCTCCATCTCTGCAGGCTAAGGTTCTGACTGAACTCACATCCTAGAGAAAAAGGGGGCATAGCAGGTGAGGAATGGATTCTTTTTCTGTGCATGGGAGTCTGAGAAATACCTAAATCTCTAAATATTTCCATTTCATAATTTATAAGCAGATCTAGGAAATGTACTGTGGTTCTGGAAGTTGTAAAGTCACGACCCTTGTTTCCCAAGATCTGACACAGCAGATGATATGCTTCCTCTTTCAGTTTCCCAATCACTTTTTATCCCTGAGTGGCACTTGCTGTTTGGTACATTGTGGTATGTCTGACAAAATTCTTATCTATAACTATATCATGAACAGCATGGTTACGATGAAACATACAATCAACCTCAAATGTTGATGAAACATAAGGCCAAAAGTATTTACATGTAATGCTACAGCGAATGTGAATTGATAGTTTTAAAACCATTTGTCAGTATCTATTAAATGTGAGTGTATATATTCCCCATGGCCCAGAAATTCTGCTTCTAGGCATATTCTCAATAATATGTAACAGTTACTCTATGGATATAAAATGTATACAGTGAAGATATTTATTGTATCAATAATTATAGGTTTTAAAATGGAAAGAACAACCCAGGTGCCCACTGGCTGTTTTGAGGACCTTTAACTTATGAAAATGGGGTACAATGAAGCAACAAAGGTTAATAAACTTTATGTATACTCAATGTGGAATATATTTCACAAACATTATAAAGTGAAAGTGTCAGATAGAAAAGACATTAAAAATAGATAAAACTCTTCTATCAAGTTATAAATTATGAGACTGGGGACAGAAGTTATTTCCATAGAGAGATGGGGCTAGGAGTTAAAACAAACAAAGATTATAGGATGTTGGTAATGCTTAGCTTTATTATCAGCATGCTGGTTACATGGGTGAGTTAATTTATGAAAATTCACAAGTTCTGCACTAAGGCTTTATGCATTTCTCTGAATATACATTATACTTCAGTAAAGTTTCAAATCTTGTCCTATGTATCTTATTATCTTCGTCTGAGAAGACATTTCACATCATCCTTATTATCCCCAGTGCCTCTGATGCTGTGCCCTCATTTAGAGATGCTATGTAAATACAATCCTTCAGTAAAGGGCGTGGCTACTTCTGTACATCTTCACCAAGATGCTCTGCTCCCAGTGCCAAGAGTGCAGTATGTAATGAGGTGGGACTGAACTTGTTCTTGTCACCTGTTGAGGCTGTCCTCAGTTGAGACCAGCACCTCACATGTGATTTCCTGTGAGAGCATTTAAACTGCTTCTCTGTTCCCAAGGTCCCCTCCCCATAATCTATCTCATTTCCCAAAGTGCAACTTGCCCTCATACAAGACACAGCATTGGTCACCTCTGTTCCCAGAGGATTTCACTTCAGTGAAATCATGTTGCAGGTGAATTTCTTGATGTGGCTCTTATGTGCCACTTATCCTGACTTTGTACTTTAGCATACACAGTCTATTTCAAGAATAAAATTGGGAAGCTCCCACCATCTTCTGCTATCTAAATTTTTCATTTCTGTCCCTCCCAATCCTGGAGATGATCTCAACCATTTGTGCTGCATGTAAAGTCATTTAGTCTCTCCTGGCACCTCAACATCTCCAGGTACAATGAATTTCTAGTCATTTAATCATAGCTTCTGAACAATTGTTCAATATTAATACAAAGCACCACATAAATTTTATTGAGTTAAACAGTGTAAATGCTTTTTAACTGGTGACAAGGCTACTAGAGTGAACATCTATCCTCTGAAGATTATTCTTATGTTCAGGCCATTTTCTATGGAATCACATTCTATTTTCTTTCTGCATACACTTTTCCTCAAGGTATCTTATAATAGTTGTCCATATTGGATTTAGTCATGATTTTAGTCATAATTTTAGTCATGATTGGATTATTACTAACATTCTAATTTTAGTACTGGTCATATTGTTTACAGGAATAGCATAGCCTATAAAGACCTATATAAGCAACAGTAATAAAATCCAGGCAGGTAGCAGAGAACTACTTCCTCTCTACCAGCATGCCTTGTATTAAGTCAAAACATTACTTAAAACAATAAGCCATGAAAACTGCCCATTTACATATGCAGGTCTTTGTTTCACTAACACAAATATTAAAAGGAAGTTGATAAAACAGGCCAGCAGACACAGAGTAGACAACATCTTTAACAGATTCCTAGACTCCTTAGTGAAATACATAGCCAGGAGACAAATATTAGAACCTCTAGAGTAAAGAAAGCCTGGCTAGTAAAGTTGAGCACATAGAACTGGGCTTCCAAAAGAAATACTAGAACTGTGTTACTTGAGCAAGTTCACCTACATGTCCTAAGTTCAATATGCTCAGACTTTTGCCATCCAAATGTAGCCTTTTCTCATGAAGCTTGACCTATAGCAACTATGTGTGTAAGGGATGAAGCATCATTTGTCTTTTTCACTATCATAAGCACAAAGCTGTTGAAGATTTTCAGCGCCTATGTGATATGTGATGTGTAGTCGTTAGTGGACTTTATAAATATTTTTATTAACTGATAGCCCTCTACATTTCTCTAGTCCTTGGAGTTTTCCTCTGGACCATACATGCAGTTCTGAGGCCATTAACTTTGGGAACGAATGGTTTGTAGAATACATATTTAACTAATCACAGCCTGATTTTAAAATCTTTCTGCCATCTCATATTGGTCAAAAGGAACTTACCATATTCCTCCAAATTAGTGCTATTGCTGTCACATATTTTATTCAACATACAACACCAAAAGAGTTTTATAGTTTTGCCTTTAAACCATGATCCATTTAAAATAGTTTTCTTTTAGTCATTTAGTTGTGTTCTGCCTTGCATTGTTTTTGTTTAAAAGTTAATTGATTCTTTGTGTAATATGACTTTTCTCACCCTTCAGGCAACTGCAGTTAGTTTTTTCTGTATTAAAACATTTAAGCAACATAAGCAGTGCTTGATCCCTAGTGTGGTCCTGATGGGAGACAGAGCTTTTTAGAGATAAACAACTCCCCATGGCACTGCCCCATGGATAGATGATTGGTTTTTCTCAAGAGGTGGCTGAGTCTTGGAGGTCTCGAGTGGAGAAGTCTTGGCGAGCCTGGTGTGAGCAGATCTTATGGAGTTGGGTTAACTGCATGGTTAATGAATTTCTGAATAATTGCATAGCATCGTATGTACACTTGTAAATATGTAAAGCACATATCCATGGCTTTCTTCTTGAAATTTGATTCTGTTTTCCTTCTGCATATACCTTCCCCTTGAGCTGTCTTATAGCAGTTCCTGCATTGGATGTTTTGCTTTACATGGTTTTTAATCACCTGCCATCAATTAAAATACACAGAAAGTTCCAGAAATAAAAAGTTTATGAGTTTTCAGTGTCATGCCACTCTGCATTGTAGTGAAATCTTGCACCCCTGTGCTCTGCCACTCAGGAGAGAACCATCCCTGTACAAAATGTCCATGGGGCACAACTAGCTACCCTTTAGTCACTGTTTACTCTTTGTTTTATTTGTTTTTGTGGAGATGGGGAATCAAACTCAGGGCCTTGCATATTTTGATAGGTGGTCCATCATTGAACTGTATCACTAAACCTTGCTAAATAGTTTGTCAAGTAAATATGTGCCAGTTCTTTTGGTTGCAACTCTCACTGAAAAACTTACTGCTACAGATCATAGTGGGTGCTTAGTCAGATGGAAAATGTTCTACTCTATGGGTGATTTGAATATAGCATGTGTACTGGTAGACAGCAACGTGTTGTAACAAAATACCTAACTTTATAAGTAAATCTTATGTGTATGTCTACATATATATGCATTTGTGTGGTAAAACATATCATACATAGAGTACGGTACTACTAGTGGTTTCTGGCATTGATGGGAGGCCTTGGAACTTACCTCCCATTCATAAGGGAGTCCACTGAAATAAAAAAATCAGGGTCATGAGGTCTGTTCTTGTGCCAGTACCAAGCTGTTTTGATTATTATGCCTTTATAGTAGAGTTTGAAATTTTGTATTGATATTCCTCCATCAGTGTTCTTTCCATTGAGGAGCATTTTTGCTATTGGGGTCTTTTATTGCTCCATATGAATTTTTGGATTGCCTCTTCTAGTATATGTATGAGTCGAGCAGAAAAGGGCAGACAAGGTGATGTTAGGAAAATGAACCCTAAGATATGTACTCAAATGGTTTTTTCTTTCATGCATTTGTTTCTGACGCATTTATAAGATTATTTCTTTGTTGCTTTGTATGTCCCTCCCCCACAGTATAACCCCTGCTTTCACTGTACTTGATGTTGGTATAATTTGTGGAAAGGAAGGGGAAAAACAAGTCGTTTAAATAAGAATACAGGTGGACCCATTGCAACAATGAGAAGTACAAGTTGTCATGTCGAAAACGAACTTTACAACTTTGGTGTGGGGGAGGGGAGGATTGGGTGGAGGATGGGGGGGGGATAGGCTAGGAAGGGATGGGAAGGGGAAACAAAGGAGGGGGCTACAATGCTTGATAAGAAATGTACTCATTATCTTGCCCATGTAATTGTAACCCCTCTGTACAGTATTTTCACAATAAAAAATAAATAAAAATTAAAAAAAAAAAAGAATTTAACCTAAAAAAAAAAATCAGGGTCAGCCATACTGTCTTGCAGTTTTCCAGAAAACCACCAGATGGCGCTGCACTCTCAAATGTAGGTCGCATTTGCATTCAGGTGGTATAACACCCCTACTCCCTTTGTGGTCACAAGTCAGAGTGATGTGCAGAAAGAAGGTCTTATTCATGAGTGAGGAGTTTCAATACAATCCTGCTAGAAAAGAGCTCTGTATGACTGGGTGTATCACAAGGAGCAAGAATCATTTCCTTCTAACAACATGCTTTCTGTCACCTTCTCTGTTCTTGTGATCCTTTTAGTGTGCAGTAAGTAACATTTTATCCTATATATTAACAATATGTCCTTGTCCTAAAATCTTGATAATATTTAGCCTTTTTCTTCATATAACAATGTTACTTATCTTTTCAGGGAGGACCAGTGGAGACTCAGTGACCCAGACAGAAGGCTTGGTTACTTTCAGAGAGGGGACACCTCTGATCCTCAACTGTACTTACCAGAGCACTTACTCAAATGTCTTTATTTTCTGGTATGTCCAATATCTCAATAAAGCCCCTCAGCTACTTCTGAAGAGTTCAACACAAAGTCCCAAGTCAGAGAACCGGATTTCCAGGCAACTCTTGTTAAGAGTAACAACTCCTTCCACCTTCAGAAATCTTCACTCCAGCTGTCAGACTCAGCTCTGTACCTCTGCGCTCTGGGAGACACAGTGAGAAATCTGTAGGTTCAGCTGTTCCTAAACCAGGGTGCTGATAGGCACAGTCCTGGGGGGAGAAAATTCTCTCTAGGCAAAGTTGATGTAGCATCCTCCAGAATGAGATCCAATCTCAGGTGGAATTCATAGCCTCTTAGGAGTTTATGAATCACTCTGAGGCAAGATAGGATGACTGTCACAAGCTTGTGATCTCCAGAAGTGTCAATGCTCAGTTCAAAAGTCCCTTCTCCTTCCCAAGGAAGAGGAAATCCCAGCCAACATTTCCCATGACATGGATGAAATCATCAAAGTGGACTATTTCAAATATCCAGGTATTCCCAAAAACAAATCTCCAAAGAAACAACTTCCCAATAAATAAGTGGGCTAAAGACTTAAAGAGAAACTCTGAAGAGGAAAGAAGGATGCCCAATAGACACATGAAGAAATGTTCAACCTCTCTAGCCATAAAAGAAATGCAAATCAAAACAACAATGAGATATCACCTCACCCCAGTAAGAATGGCTATAATTAAGAACTCTAATAACAACAGATGCTGGAGTGGATGTGGACAGAAGGGAATCTCACTACATTGTTGGTGGGAGTGTAAACTTGTTCAACCACTTTGAAAGCAGTATAGAGGTTCCTCAAAAGACTCCACATAGAGCTCCCCTATTACCCAGCAATCCCACTTTTGGGCATTTACCCAAATGATCACAAACAAGATCATAGTAAAGCTACCAGCACAACTATGTTTATTGCAGCATCATTTACCATAGCTAAGATATGGAACCAACCCAGACGCCTCTCAGTAGATGAATGGATCAAGAAAATGTGGTATATATACACAGTGGAATTCTATGCCTCCATCAGAAAGAATGGCATTGACCTATTTGTTAGGAAATGGAAAGAATTGGAAAAAATCATATTAAGTAAAGTAAGCCAGGCCCAAAGAAATACAGGTCAAGTTAGAGGAAGAGAGCTGCGGTGCTGACAAAGAAGCATGACAGGATGCTTCCCACAATAACTGTACTTCAATCCATATCTGAAGAGAATTTCCGTAGAGTGAAGATTACTCTTTGTATGCCAGTTGGTGTTGGTGTTAGGAGATCTGCATATCCCTCACCGGTGCAACAGTTTCCCAGCTAATTTCCAAAAACTGCTGGCACCGGGAGAGATACAGCACATTCTCTGCACTGGAAACCTTTGCACCAAAGAGAGTTATGACTATCTCAAGACTGGCTGGTGACTTCCGTATCCTGAGCGGAGACTTCGATGAGAACCTGAATTACCTGGAACAGAAATTTGTGACCGGGGGACAGCCCAAAATAGGTTTGATCCACGGAGATCAGGTCATTTGGTGGGGAGACTTGGCCAGCCTGGCCCTGCTGCAGAGGCAGTTCGATGAGGACATTCTTATCTCAGGACACACTCATAAATTTGAAGCATTTGAACATGAAAATAAATTCTACATTAACCCAGGTTCTGCCACTGAGGCATATAATGCCTTGGACACATATATTATTCCATCGTTTGTGCTGATGGACATCCAGGCTTCCACAGTGGTCACATACATCCATCAGCTAATTGGAGATGATGTGAAAGTAGAAAGAATTGAATACAAAAAGTCTTAAAGCCAGTCTGTCTTGATTTTTTTCATTACTCTGTTCAAATCAAGCAATTAAACATTTAAGAATCACATCACTGTATCCCTTTTATATTTAGCAGTAAAAAGTAATACATCTTCTGTTACTACTTCCTCTAATCTTCTTAGAAACTGTAGTTAGTTTTCAGTATAGACTTTGTATTTTAAAAAGTCCACCTCACAGGAAATGGTTATGTATTCAGAAAAAGTTATTCTTGTAAATATCTTCAAAGTTGGCATTTGGACCTTATTTTACAACCAGTGCTTGAACAGAAAGAATACAGACTTTCTGTGTACATTTTTCTCTTCTCCAGTAATAAATATTTACTTTTCATGTAAAAAGAAGAAATATAGGTCCCATTGTTTTCCTTATTTGCAATAACTAGTATATGTCTGAGACAAACAGAAACTGTCAGACAAGTTGATGTTAGGTGAAATGAACCCCAAGGTAAGGATTCAAATGTTCTTTTATCTTCCTTGTGATTGTTTCCAACGTATTTATAAGATGATTTCTTTGTTGCTTTGTATGTACTTTCACCAGGGTATACGCCTTGCTTTCACTGTATTTGATGTTGATCTAATTTCTAGAGGGGAAGGGAAAAAACAAACTGTTTAAATAGGATTACAGGTGGACTCATTACAACAATGAGATGTATAAGACCTTACTTGGAAAAACGAACTTTACAACTTTGGCAGGGTGTGGGCTGGGGGAGTGGTGGTGGGGGGTGTGGGGGTGGGGGAGTGGAGAAGGGAAGGGCTGGTATGGGGAAACAAAGGAGGAGGCAACAATGCTTGATAAGAAATGTACTCACTATCTTGCCCATGTAATTGTAACCCCTCTGTATGGTATTTCCATAATAATAATAATAATTTTTTTTTTAAAAAGACTCCACAGAGAACTCCCCTATGACCCTGAAATCCTACTTTTGGACATTTACCCAAATGATCAAAAACAATACCATACCAAGGCTAGCTACCAGCACATCTATATTTGTTGCAGCATTATTTACCATAGCTAAGATATGGAACCAACCCAGATGTCCTTTAATAGATGAGTAGATCAAGAAAATGTCACACACACACACACACACACACACACAAACACACACACACACACACACACACACACACACACACACACACACACACATTTATATGAATTCTATGCCTCCATCGGAAAGAATGGCAATGCCCCATTTGTGAGGAAATGGAAATACTTGGGAAAATTATATTAAGTGAAGTGAAGTAAGCTGGGCACAAAGAAACATAGATCCCATGGTTTCCCTTATTTGCAATAACTAGTACATATGTAGGTCAAGCAGAAAAGGCCAAAAGCTATGTACATATAAAATGATGTCAAGCGGAATGAAAACCAAGATAGGGATACAAATATCTTTTTTTTTCTTGGTATTGTTTCTAACGTGTTTTTAATGTATCATGTGATTTTTTGGTTGCTTTGTAAGTTCCTCCCCCATGGTATAACCCATTTTCACTGTATTTGATTTTGGTGCCCTGAGTCTTGTATATACACTTCTCTAATTCGGGAAGGGGAAGGAAAAAAACAAAACGCTAAATAGGGGTACAGGTTGACCCATTGTAACACCGAGATGTACAAAATACTATATTGAAAATGAACTTTACAACTTTGGGCAGGGGGTTGGGGGAGGATAGTTGTGGAGGTGGGAGGGAAGGGATGGTAGCGGGAAAACAAATGAGGAGGCAACAGTACTCAATAGAACAGTACTCATTACCTTGTTCATGTAACTGTAACTCCTCTGTACAGCATTTTTGCAATAAAAAACATAAAAAAGAACCACTAAGTAAGCAGATAAAGTGGCTCATGCCTATTCTACATACTCTTGATACTCAAGAAGTTTAGATCCAACAATAATTTTCACACAATAATATTCAGCAGTTTTGTCTCAAATATTTATTTAACTTGAGTGTTAGTGTTTGTAAAAATGTGTTAGTCTTTTACTGTTAAAAAGTTAGTGTTAGTCTTATCTTTTCACATTTTGTTAGCAAATACTAGTTCTACATGGATTTTCCTTCTGAGAATTTCATACAAACATTCATTGTACCCTTCTCAAACTCATTTTTTCTGTCATTCTCCCTCCCGTCCTCCCTCTTAAAATCACTTCAAACCAGATATAGGTGGCTCATACCTGTTATTCTAGCTACTCAGGAGGATAATATCTTCAGATGTTAGTTCAAAGCCAGCCTAGGCAAGACAAGTCTGTGAGCCTCATGTCTCCAATTTCCCAGAAAAAATTCAGAAGTTGAGCTGTGGCTCAAGTGGTAGAGTGCTAGCCTTGAGCAAAAATACCTCAAGGACAGTGCACAGGTTCTGAGTCCAAGCCCCAGGACTGGCACCAAAATTTTCTATCTAATCTATCTATCTGTCTATCTATCTATTATCTCTATACATAATCTATATATAACATAATTATTCCTGTGGGATTGTCTCACAAGAACAACTGGGAGAGAGAGAGTAAAAGATAATAAAAGATGGTGAATAATATAGTGAAATATAAGCATTCATGCATGATGAAGGCATAAAGAAACAGAGTTGTCAAACAGTAGTAGGAAAGGGGGATAGGCAGAGAGAAAAATGTAAAAAGTTCATCCAACTAAAATATAATATATGCCCATTGGCAATACCATAGGGAAAGCCATAGCACAATTACTATACACTAAAACATGGGGTTTACTCTCAAAGGTTCATATAAAATGGGTCTGGATGCTGAATAATTCTTTAGTCATTATTGAGAAACCATTAGAGGGCAGCATCTTCTCAAGGATCCCAAGGGACCTTCTCAAGTGCACTGTGTGGTGGGGAGTGACTGCATGTGAAGGGGATGCTGGGAGGAGCTTGTTGCTGAAGTGGGGGGGGGGGGGTGAAGAAAAGAAGCTTGTTTTTCTGATTGGTAAAAGAGTCTTTTTATGTTTCCAAAAGCACAGTACTGAGAATATCTCAACGAGACACATTTTCCTTTACAGTTTATTCTCTGAGTCCTCAGTGAATCCAAGGGAAAGAATGATGAGATCCCTGAGTGTCTTACTAGTGATTCTGTGGCTTCACATGAACTGTGAGTTTAACATTTTTATGGGGATATGAAGTCCAGTGTTGGTAGTTGTTTTATATTTCAGGTCTGCGAGGAGAAACACGAAAGTGCTCACTAGTCAATGAGAGAGGGTAAGAGGCCTGTAGAGAAAGCATCCACTATTCAACCATTGTCTTTGGCTGACCTTTGTCTTTCTGCACAGGGGTGAACAGCCAACAAATGGAGGTGGAGCAGCATCCTGAGTCCCTCAGTGTTCCAGAGGAATACACTGTCTCTCTCAACTGCACTTATAAGAACAGTGGTTCTCAGAACTTCATGTGGTACAGACAGTATTCTGGGAAGGGACCTGAGCTGCTGATGTCTACATACTCCAATGGTGATAAACACGAGGGAAGATTCACAGTGCATCTCAACAGAGCCAGCCTTTATCTTTCCCTGCACATTAGAGGCTCCCAGTTCAGTGACTCGGCCACCTACCTCTGTGCAGTGAGTGCACAGTGCTCCCCTAACACCTGCAGTCTGCACCCAAACCTATGGGGGCCCCAGTAAGGCCTGAGCTGTAGCACAGGGCAATCTGTTCCCTAGATGTGATGGCAGCTAAGAGTAATAGCAGGTAGGGGTTGATTATTTTACTTTCTTATCATTGTGAAAATACTTGAGCATGAAATTAAAGACAGAATACTGTTCTCTGTCATGTTAACTTTGACTATCAGTCTGAGTAGATTGATGTCTCAATTTGTAATGCACATTTCTATGTGTGTGTGAAGCTATTTCCATAGGTGATTAGCACTCTGCACAGTGTGAAAAGCTCCTCTAAAGGTGGGCAGGACAGATCCAATAGACTGAAGGCCTGGATGGAACAAATGCTTTCAGGCTGTGCCCAGCTTGTATTGAAGAATCCAGCCTCAAATTGTGTGCACACATGCACACGATCCTATAAAGAAACCTGTCTAAAATTCTACAGTTGACATGTTTTCCAGTTTTTTCTTTCAATTCTAAACTTTCAAAATATGTACAAAAGTTTCACACAATTAATGCATATGTCTTGACAAGAAGGTGCATATGAAAGCTCTATGAAACTGTTTCCATAAGCAGTGTACATTATGCCTGCTTCTCTATCTTCTTTTTTTAAAAAAATGAGGTGTTATTGACAAGCATAAATGTACACCAACTTTGTCCATCCATCTTGATGTCTAACCCATTCTAATACCACATTCTTACTAACCATAGTTTTTGATACTTTTATGTATAAAAGTAAATGTAATATGATAATAGATATTCTCTTTCAGTGATTAACATGCCTTGCTTTTTTCCATTAAGCTTTTCAAGATGTTCATTCATTTCAAGAGGAATGTAATAGCAAAACAGAAATGCAAATGAGATAAAGGCTTCATAATACTCTACTTTGCTTTTTTTGTGCCAGCACTGGGGCTTAAACTCAGGACCTGTGCATTCACACCTAGTGCTCTTACTGGAGTCACAGCTCTGCTTCTGAAGAGTTTTGTGGACTCACCTTTCCTGGGCTGGCTTTGAACTGCAATCTTCAAATCTATCTAGGACTAGACACCCAATAACAATCTACTTTGAAAGAGATTTTTAGTCTTAAGTTATTTTATTAAAAGTTTAAAACTTAGCTGTACTCTCAGTTGCAACCAGGTCTGGATTAGTAAAAGACACAAATTAAAGCAAAAAATGTGATATGGAAAAGATAAAAAATCAGAGTGGATCTAAATTGGTGTACTGGTGTAAGGTCTGAGTAGGTCTTGGAATTCCTTTCCTAAGCCATACTAAGTGTAGCATGAAGATATGGGGAGCATCGACCACAGGAGCCCCTGACCCAGCTGACATGGGAGCACAGTGATTCTGGTTTCCTAGAGAAAGGGTATAAAACAGCATAGGCACCAAAGGAAGGATTTGATCTAGAGAATAAAGACTTATTCTTGCTTTTGGTTAATATTGAAGGTGTGTTCTTCTTCTCTTCAGAATGAGAGCTTTGCTGAGTAGATTAATCTAGGTTGACTGTAACAGATCATTATACACCCTCTTGGGTTTTAAGGTTTCTGTCGGGAAACATGTTCTTGGAATCTTAACTCTTTCTGCATGATAGGTCATGTCCTTATTAATAGTATTGAATAAGAAATGTCATGTGACCTGGTAGATTTATGTCTCATATAACCCACTTTTTTTTTTTACCAAAATTAGAGTGCCAACTCTCTTTGTTCCCACTGTGATACTTACCTCCAGCAGCCCAAGACAGTGAAGATTCATCCCTGCCTGAGACCACCGATCCTGCTCTGTCCACCTGAGGAAGGCTAGAACATCTTAATGGAATTCCAATGCTTAACAATGTCTCTGAGTAGCCTAAGTGAATTAAATTACAGCCTACAAATTGATTTTTTTTTTGCCTGAACTCTGGGCCTGGGCGCTGTCCCTCAACTCTTCAGCTCAAGTCTAGTGCTCTACCACTTGAGCCACAGTGCTGCTTCTGCTTATGTGGTGCTAAGGAATGGAACCCAGGGCCTCATGAATGCAAGGCAAGCATTCTACCACTGAGCCACCTTCTCAGTCCCAAATTGATATTTTTAAGGTAAGAATTTTTCCAGAGCTGTTGAGTCTCCCTTACTCTGTTTCTCTGGTTCAGGCCAGTTTGAAAGTAAGAAAGGGTCAGGGCAAAAATAACAGGTGCAATGGCCACCAATACCCATGGTGTTTTCCAAAGTTGACTTCTTGTTTACACACACACACACACACATTTCTCAGAATAAGGTGTACAAAAAATAGGAAAATGGGGCTGAGAAGGTGGTTCAGTGGTAGAGTGCTTGGCTTGCATGCATGAGGCCCTGGGTTCAATTTCTCAGCACCACATAAGCAAAAAGAAAAAAGCCAGAAGTGGCTCTGGGGCTCAAGTGGTAGAGCACTAGCCTTGAGCTGAAGAGCTGAGGGACAGCGCCTAGGCCCATAGTTCAGGCCCCACACCGGACCCCCCCAAAAAATAGGAATATCTGAGAACACTAGATCCTCTGGTGCTGAGATCTAGCCTTCTGTTTAGACATACAATGATTATAGTCATTTTAACTTAAATTTTTATTCAAATTAGATCTCTTTACTTCACTATATGAATTAACAGCTTCATCTCACTCCCTTGAATTTGGTGCCCATAAAGGTTTTTCTGTTTTGTTTACTGATGTCTTCCCAGACAACATACTTATTACAGGAGATCAGGACCAAACCCAGGAGATGTAGTTCAAGGAGCTTATTGGTTGAGGTTATGAAACCATTACAACCTGCAACATAGCAAAGACATATTCCACCCAATGTGAATAAGATGATTGATAATGTCAGTCAGGATCCAGATCCTGCTGCTTCCTAGTGATCCTTCTTCCTGAATCATTCCTATATCCACATCACTGAGACCCTGACCTTCCTCATAGTATCTCTAATGCAGAATTGATCTAGGTCAAAGGGAACTTACCATATTCCTCCACCTTAGTGTTACTGCTGTCACATATTTTATTCCACACAAAACACCAAAAGAGTTTTATAGTTTTACCTTTAAACCATGATCCATTTAAAATATTTTTCTTTTAGTCATTTAGTTATGTCCTGTCCTGCATTGTTTTTGTTTAAAAGTTAATTGTTATTATTGGCTTTGATTCTTTGTGTAATGTGACTTTTCTCACCCTTCAGGCAACTGGAGTTAGTTTTTTCTGTATTACAACATTTAAGAAACATCAGCATTGCTGTGGTTTGAATGGGGGTCTGACCTACTAAGGCCTGTGATGAGGCTTGATCCCTAGTGTGGTCCTGGTGGGAGACAGAGCTTTTTAGAGATAAACAACTCCCATGGCACTACCCAGGGATAGATGATTGGCTTTTCTCAAGAGGTGACTGAGTCTTGGAGGTCTCCAGTAGAAAAGTCTTGGTGTGCCTGGTGTGAGCAGATCTTATGGAGTTGGGTTAATTGCATGGCTAATGAATTTCTGAATAATTGCATAGCATCCTATGTACACTTGTAAATATGTAAAGCATATATCCATGGCTTTCTTCTTGAAATTTGATTCTGTTTTCCTTCTGCATATACCTTCCCCTTGAGCTGTCTTATAGCAGTTCCTGCATTGGATGCTTTGCTTTACATGGTTTTTAATCACCTGCCGTCAATTAAAATACAAAAGTATTACACAGAAAGTTCCAGAAATAAAAAGTTTATGAGTTTTCAGTGTCATGCCCCTCTGCATTGTAGTGAAATCTTGCACCCCTATACTCTGCCACTCAGGAGAGAACCATCCCTGTACAAAATGTCCATGGGGCACAACTAGCTACCCTTTAGTCACTGTTTACTCTTTGTTTTATTTGTTTTCGTGGAGATGGGGAATCAAACTCAGGGCCTTGCATACTTTGATAGGTGGTCCATCATTGAGCTGTATCACTAGACCTTGCTAAGTAGTTTGTCAAGTAAATATGTGCCAGTTCTTTTGGTTGTAACTCTCACTGAAAAACTTACTGCTACAGATCATAGTGAGTGCTTAGTCAGATGGAAAATGTTCTACTCTGTGGGTGATTTGAATATAGCATGTGTCCTGGTAGACAGCAACATGTTGTAACAAAATGCCTAACTTTATAAGTAAATCTTATGTGTATGTCTACATATATATGTATTTGTGTGGTAAAACATATCATACATAGAGTCCAGTACTACTAGTGGTTTCTGGCATCGACAGGAGGCCTTGGGACTTACCTCCCATTCATAAGGGAGTCCACTGAAATAAAAAAATCAGGGTCATGAGGTCTGTTCTTGTGCCAGTACCAAGCTGTTTTGATTACTATGGCTTTATAGTAGAGTTTGAAATTTGTTATTGATATTCCTCCATCAGTATTCTTTCCATTGAGGAGCGTTTTTGCTATAGGGGTCTTTTATTGTTCCCTATGAATTTTTGGATTGCCTCTTCTAGTATATGTATGAGTCAAGCAGAAAAGGGCAGACAAGGTGATGTTAGGAAAATGAACCCTAAGATATGTACTCAAATTTTTTTTTCTTTCATGCATTTGTTTCTAACACATTTATAAGATTATTTCTTTGTTGCTTTGTATGTCCCTCCCCCACAGTATAACCCTTGCTTTCACTATATGTCCGTATAATTTGTTGAAGGGAAGGGGCAAAACAAGTCGTTTAAATAAGAATACAGGTGGACTCGTTGCAACAATGAGAAATACAAGTTGTCATGTCGAAAACGAACTTTACAAATTTGGTGTGGGGGAGGGGAGGATTGGGTGGGGGAGGGAGGGAGGCTGGGAAGGGATGGGAAGGGGAAACAAAGGAGGAGGCTACAATGCTTGATAAGAAATGTACTCATTATCTTGCCATGTAATTGTAACCCCTCTGTACAGTATTTTCACAATAAAAAATAAATAAAAATTAAAAAAAAAAAGAATTTAACCTAAAAAAAAATCAGGGTCAGACATACTGTCTTGCAGTTTTCCAGAAAACCATCAGAAGGCGCTGCACTCTCAAATGTAGGTCGCATTTGCATTCAGGTGGTATAACGCCCCTACTCCCTTTGTGGTCACAAGTCAGAGTGATGTGCAGAAAGAAGGTCTTATTCATGATTGAGGAGTTTCAATACAATCCTTCTAGAAAAGAGCTCTGTACGACTGGGTGTATCACAAGAAGCAAGAATCATTTCCTTCTAACAACATGCTTTCTGTCACCTGCTCAGTTCTTGTGATCCTTTTAATGTACAGTAAGTAATAGTTTATCCTACATATTAACAATATGTTCTTGTCCTACAATTATGATAATATTTAGCCTTTTTCCTCATATAACAATGTTACTTATTTTTTCAGGGAGGAGCAGTGGAGACTCAGTGACCCAGACAGAAGGCTTGGTTACTTTCACAGAAGGGGCACCTCTGATCCTCAACTGTACTTACCAGAGCACTTACTCAATTGCCTTTATTTTCTGGTATGTACAATATCTCAATAAAGCCCCTCAGCTACTCCTGAAGAGTTCAACACAAAGTCCGAGGTCAGAGAACCGGGGTTTCCAGGCAACACTTGTTAAGAGTGACAACAGCTTCCACCTGCAGAAATCTTCACTCCAGCTGTCAGACTCAGCTGTGTACTACTGCGCTCTGGGAGACACAGTGAGAAAGCTGTAGGTTCAGCTGTTCACAAACCAGGGTGCTGATAGGCACAGTCCTGGGAAGAGAAAACTCTCCCCAGGAAGAGTTGATGTAGCTTCCTCCACAATGGGATCCAAACTCAGATGGAATTCATAGACTCCTAGGAGGTTATGAATCACTCTGAGGCAAGATAGGATGACTGTCACAAGCTTGGGATCTCCAGAAGTGTCAATGCTCAGTCCAAAAGGCCCCTCTCCTTCCCAAGGAAGAGGAAATCCCAGCCAACATTTCCCATGACATGGGACAAATCATCAAAGTGAGCTATTTCATATATCCAGGTATTTTGTGATCTTCATGCAGGCATTAGTAAACTGAATGAGGTATACAGAATCTATTCTGTCTTCTACAGACAACACAATTGAATTTGGCATTGCTTCTTTCTGGTCCATGCTTCTAAGAGCTCATCACAACTCCTCACCAGCCCTATGTTTCATGGAGCCACTCATGGGACACTGCAGTAGGAACGTTTCAAGATCATATCCTGAGGGGCAGTCCCATGCTCTTGCTCAGGACATGCAGGTGGAAAGGTACTTGGTAAGAAAAGACAGAGTCCAAGAAATCCCTCTTCTCTGCTATTATGTGACATTAACACCCCAGAGAGAGAGGAAGGCACAGAAAGAGGAAGGGAAGGAGGGAGGGAGAGAAAGAGAAAGAAAAAGAAGAAAGAAAGACAGAAAGAAAGAAAGAAAGAAAGAAGGAAGGAAGGAAAGAAAGAAAGGAAAGAAAGAAAGAAAGAAAGAAAGAAAGAAAGAAAGAAAGAAAGAAAGAAAGAAAGGAGGAAGGAAGGAAGGAAGGAAGGAAGGAAGGAAGGAAGGAAGGGAGAGAGGAGAGATAGAAAAAGAGAAAGAAAGAGAAAGAGGAGGGGGAAAAGTGAAAGAAAGGAGAAGAACTTTCCAGATCTCCAATTCTAATTTTCAAGTTATTTTGTATATGTATGCGCTTCTCTCTTCTCTCTCTCTCTCTCTCTCTTTTTTTCTGTGTGTGTGTGTGTGTGTGTGTGTGTGTGTGTGTGTGTGTGTGTGATGTCTCCCTTGGGATTTTAAACTCATAGAAGGCAAGAGGCATTCTTGGCTATACCACCCCTGCCAGAACCTATCCCATATTTTTACATGCAGGAGCCTGAGAATGGAGCATAAGAGGTAGAGGCCAGCCAACACAGAAATGTTCAGGGACTCTATCTCAGTGGAAGAATCTGGGCACATAAGTGCATACCATCATGTCAGGAACAGTAGAAATCATTGATAGACTCGAACTCAGACCCCCCGAAGACCACCAGAGACCAAGATCAATGTAAGTGACAGCAGAGTCGCTTATTTGCAAGTTCAAGCTTGGACTCACAATCGTTGCCGATGCAGTGGGTCAGAGTTGTGAGCCCCGACCACATGTTCAGCAGTGTTTTTATGTAGCAGTGGGAAGGATGTCAAGCTCATTGGTTAGGGGTATGATCATTTCCAGTAAGGGCAGGAACTTTCTAGCTTAGTGGTTACAGGATAGGTTAAATCATACATCATTGGATGGATAAGTGGGGCTAACCACAGAAATGCTGAATTATGTCTTGTCCTAACTGTTTTCTTGACAGAGTTGGGGGAGAGACTGCCCAATTTCCTGGACTGGTCAGGGAAGCCTGATCCCTTAATAATTCTACTGTTACCTTGCCTTGGTGCAGGATCTAACTGTTACTGGAAAGTAAGACAAATGTTTTAGTTTTGTCTTAAATTACTGCTAAACTTATTTTTGGTCTCTCAGTCATAAAGTAGGAGGATTCCAAATATAACCACTGACAAAAAAGCCTAGTCATGTACCTGAATGCCTGCCTACCATATGTTGAAAATGGAGTTTACAACTTTGGTGTGTGTGTGGGGGGGGGGGTGGATTGGGGGGGAATGGGAGGGGGCGGGGGGGAGGCTGGGAAGGGATGGAAAGGGGAAACAAAGGAGGAGGTTACAATGCTTGATAAGAAATGTACTCATTATCTTGCCCATGTAATTGTAACCCCTCTGTGCAGTATTTTCACAATAAAAAATAAATAAAAATTAAAAAAATAAATAAAAATGGCTATTCACCCAAAATCAATGTAAAAATGTGTTGCATTGCCAATAAGTATCCCTCTATCATTCCTCACAAATAACAGTTATCAACCTAAAAGTTTGTATGGTAGAAAAGGGGAGTTTGAATCCCAAAAGTAAGTCTAAGTAGTAAGAGCACCACTTGAGATATCACAGTATCATATTTCAAATTATTTTATAGAGATATAATAACAAAAACACCATGGTCCTGGCACACAGACCAGACCAATGAATAGCCTAGAATATTCAGTAACAAAACCACATACCTACAGCCAACTAATTTGCAATAAAGGAACCAAGAACATTCAATAAGAAAAAAATAGCATTTTCAACTAATTGTGCTGGGGAAACAAGGTATCCAGATGCATAAAACTAAAACTGGATATCTGTTTGTCACCTACAAATGGATTACAATCTTGTTCACAATAGCCAAATAATGAAATCATACTAGCTCTTCCTCAACAGATAAGTGGATAAAGAAGCTGTGATGTGATATATATACACACACACATATGTAATGACATATTACCCAGTCATAAAGAAAATGATTATGTAATTTTCAGAAAAAATGGATGTTACTAGAGGATGTCATACTGAGTGAGAATAGCAAGTTCTAAAAAACTAGTGTTTTTTAACTCATATATAGAAGCTACATCTAAAGATATACAAATTCACAGACATGTACATAAGCATACATATAAATAATTACTTAGACAGGTAAAGATAGAACAAGCTAAAAGACTGCTCAGGATAAAAGGGGAGAGAATAGGAAAAGAAAGAGGCTAAATAACTCTGTAAGACATTGCAAGGATATATGAGGACAGCATAGAGAAACTAAGCAAAATATATGATGAATAATGGAATAGGTAGAGAGAAATAGACTGCAGTTGGGTGGAGAAAAGTGGAAAAGGATTATACTGGCCTTTTTCATCTATTAAATTAAGACAGGAAAGTTACTAAGGTAATATGTTGAAGAGGGAGTGGCGAGGTGAACACTGACACATTTGTTCAATTATAAATGCATTATGTCATCTGTCATAGTTTTATACAGAAGGCTATTGTTTTGTACACTAGTAAGGCTATGTCAGTGGATTAATCTGCTTTCATAAAGCTTGTATTTCATGGGGAAACAGAATGAACAAACCTGAAACAAGTAATTCATTGCACAGTGTTATGAACTTCATGCAAATTAGATTAGGGTAATTGAATGGGAGCTGGAGTGCCCTTGGCTGCACTTGTAATGTTAAACATGGGGAAAGAATTCTATGTACACATTGTAAATACTTCAGGAGCCCAGAAGGCTCCATACAGTGGCCTGGGGGAGGTGTCAACCACGGCAGAGGGGAGTGACATTGGGATTCTGGAAGAGATTACTTCATATCACTTGTTGTTATTTATTTTATTTCATTTATTTCCATTAAAGATATGCAAACCTTTAACAACTCTCAATTTTTCACAATTTCTCAATTTTTCTGTGAGGCATATTTTCACAAAAGTAACTGACAATACAGCAATTTAAACACAAATGCCAATGACTCGAGACTGGCTGAAAGTTGTTCCACACCAAGTGAGTTGTGTAATAAGCACGTGAGGTTAAATTTTTTTGTTTCCAAAATTTCATTTTTGTTATTTATTATTTTTAGCTGCTGTTGATCAAAACCGTGTGCAATAAATCTTACTGTAATAAAGCTTACTGTAGGGTGGTTGTTCCCAGGAGCCACCATTCTAATAAAATATATAGCCAATGGAGAGCCTTTTATTAGCCAGCAGGCAACCACAGTCAAGTGTTGGGTGCCCAGGTGTGATAGCCCACCTCTCAACCAAGTCAGGGTAACATACCTCTCCCCCCCAGTTTGGAAGTTCCCTTTTTCCTAATCTACAGGTACAAGTAAGCAAGCAGGAACCAACAGAACCAGAAGTCAGCATTAGGCAAGTGGCACCTTCCCTAATTTATTGGTGCACTGTGAATTGTGTTCATCCACCTGAGTCAAACCATCTTTGATACTAGACTCTTTCTGAAGCAAACAGGAATTAGACTCTCTCTGAAGTTTATCAATCTCAAGCAAATGGAAACTAAACTATTTCCTGAAGCTTATTGTCCCCGAGCAAGCAGGAACTAGACTCTCTCTGAAGTTTATCAATCACAAGCAAATGGAAGCTAAATTAACTATTTCCTGAAGTTTATTGTCCCGAGCAAGCAGGAACTAGTTGAGGAGGAAGAAGCAACATATATGTGACAGGATGGGGAAGAAGCCTGCCAGGGGCGCTCGATGGGGATGGTGCTGGGGAAGAAGTAAAGTATATGGGACAGAATGGGAAGGGTGCCTGCCAAGAAGGCAATGGGAACGGGGCCCTGGAGGCACTCTTGTTGGATACCCTATTATGTTGAAATGGAGATTTAGAATGTAAATGTGCAGGTATCAAATTGAGAATGCTAGTGATGACACTCAAAATAGAGCTGTGGCACACTGACAGCCACAGTTGAGGCTCCCAGCATGGAGTCCCATAACTTCGAACACACTCCCCTGCAGATTTCCATTCCTGTTGTGGGGAGAGTGGAGTCTAAGGAGATAAGGTCTTGGTGCAGGCTGCAGGTGCTCAGAAAAACCACAAGAGGGGGCGACGTCTTTAAAATGAAGTTTATTCTCCCATCAACTGAGGTCTTTGAACCTCATTGATCCTATTTTTCCTTGGCATGTTATGGTTTCTTTTCACTTACTCTTCAGTTGCTGCATGACCCGAAGGCACTCTTTCCAAAGGATCAAGGCTCTTCAGAAGGTCCTGACCAGAACCCAGATCTGAGACAGGACATCAGCCTGTGTATCTTGATGAACACAACTTAGTTGTCATGCTCTCTTCTTTCTGTTCAATGTTGGTTCTGGTCCTGCTGCTAATTCTCCATAAGTGATATTTCAATTTTTAATGACTCTCTTCTAGTCTGGATGTTTATAATTTGGGGACTTGTGTCTCTGATGTCTGTTTCTTTCTATTTT